CGGGTCTGTGGGCCCCCGCGTCCACTATTGGGCATTCTTTTGGAGAAATCTGGTGGTGGTGGGCGTGCTTGCATGGGTGTTTGGATTCAGGTGCTTTGACAGATGCACACTAGGTTGGGTAGTGGTGGAAGCTAGATGATTCCTTGTGCCATGTTGAATGTTTCATGATGATATTGTGGGTGGCATTGTGCTGTGCATGTTGTTTTGTCATGGTGGTCTCTCGTTTTATCTATTTCTCTTTTATTTATTTTTCTTCTTCTTTCTTCTCTTTCTTTAAAAAAAAAAAGCACGATTGGCTGGAAATTCCAGCCAAGCCAATCGTGTTTGTTTGTGGACACGGATGCCTTCAGGGCTCACAAAAAAACTCCGACAGTTGCAACATGCTGATGACGACCGACAACCACACATTCACAGAATGGTCAAATTATCGTATATTTGGCCTTTTTTGGGATTATTGATCGTACAGAGGGCAAAATTGTTGCACAAATACGATAATTATCGTACACCTCTCGCTTGAGTTTACTCTTTGTTGCATGCACGCTGTGAGTGACGTCCAGAGCGCATGGACATAAAAACAGCAGCAGAGGGTGTTGCCAGGTGTACGATAATTATCGTATTTGTACGACAATTTTGCACTGAAGTCAAGTCAAGTCAAGTCATCTTTATTTGTAGAGCACAATTTAAAACAGATAAACTGTTATCAAAGTGCTTAACAGAAATGTAGCAAAACATAGGCAGCAAAACAAAAACATCATACAGAATTAAAATTACTGGAGCAATAACACACACTAATGATCACACTAAGGAAAAACAAGCAGTAAAAATAAACGTCAATCATAAAACAACAGAATTTAAAATGAGGTACACAGAACAAAATAAACTAACTCACACAGTATTAAACGCCAGAGCAAACAGGTGCGTTTTAAGGAGGGATTTGAACATCAGGAGGGAGGAGGCCTGCCTGATGTTGAGGGGCAGGTTGTTCCACAGGTTGAAGGCATCTGTGTCCACACCTTATTGTCCTCAAGCTTCATGAGAAACATCATTTAGATGAGTAGTGTTGAACACAAGTAAAAAAGTCCAGTGGTGATGCTTTTTATTTCTCTATAAAGACAAATAGTGCCGATCTGACGCTCTGTATTAAAGTGTATTAAAGTTAAAATGTCTTTAAAACCCACAGATGAATTTACACAAACTTGGTGAGAAACATGCTTTAAATGTGGAATTAAAGGAAATCTGGGTGAAATGCTGTTTTTTTTTTTTTAACGTGCGCCCACACACCTACACACATCGTGTCCCCCCTCACATTACGGATGCTTCTGACGCCCTTGCTTCCGTGTGTATCAGAGTGAGAACTTGCTGCTAAATGACTACGAAGAGAAACTGAATGACCAGGTCGTACGCACCATGGAGAACTACACAAGCCAGTTTCCTGAGGTCAAGGTACTCTGATGCAGCTATGATTAATAAATTAAAGGGGCTCATACAAAAAAACATCTAAATCTTAAAAAAAAAAAAGTTTGTCACCATAAATTACCACTAATCTGTAGTTTTAATTTTAAATGTTTTTACTTGGGTGTGGGGGGACTTTTTTTAGGAACGAGTTTCAAAGCGTGGCCGCAAACTGGTGGACTACGATTCAGCTCGTCATCACCTGGAAGCTCTGCAGAGCACCAAGAAGAAGGATGAAGTCAAGATCTCCAAGGTTCAGTTTAGAGAAACGCGCTCGCATACGACCATGGCTGTCCCCTCATGTTCATGTCCTTTCAAACCCTTTTCAGGCAGAGGAGGAGTTCAACAAAGCCCAGGCTGTCTTTGAAGAGATCAACAACGAGCTGAGAGAGGAGCTGCCTGCTCTCCATCAAAGGTAGCAGAAGTTAAGATCGGTGCAGCTTCGTGAAAGTTTCACTTGAATGAGCTGGAAGTAAAGTACTTTCTGTTCTGCAGTCGGATCGGTTGCTATGTGACGGTGTTCGAGAACATTTCCAACCTGAGGGATGTCTTTTATAAAGAAATGAGTAAGGTAAGACCTCAGCCTGATTCTGACGGACTTCATCTGTAAAATCTGTTGACGGATTCTCTGAGCAAGAACGTGCTGTCAGTTTTGTTTGTGTGCTTATGTTTGCAGCTGAATCATGAACTTTACAATGTGATGAAAAAACTGGAGACTCAGCACTCGGGCAAAGCTTTCATTGTGAAGGGTTTGAATAGGTAAGATGTACTTTTGTTCAATTCCATTTGTGGTGCAGGACACCTGTTGTCTTCATAATTGTATGTAGAGGTCCGCTTTTGATGAACCATAATACAAGAGCTTCTCTGTAGAAGTTTTCTGGAAGCTAAATAAAGCTAATTTTGAATATGGACAACTTGTATTTCTACACTATTTCTGAAAAAGGTGGAACTTTGTTAAAAAAAGACAATGAAAGTATTTGCAAATCTCAAATTCATATTATGTTAAGAGAGCATGGTAAACAAGTCGAGTATTAAAGGTACACAATTGTACAGTTTAAACATTGTAAAGAAAGATCATTTTAAACTTGATGGCTGCAACACATCTCAAAGTTGTTCTAGGCCTGTCGTGATAAAGAATAAATAAATTAATCACATGATAAATGAAAATTATCAGCTTTATCGTTTCTTCATGTCTCTCTCTTTCTACTGAAGACACTGGATGATAAAAAGAGGGGGGGGGGGGGACCAGCTGCTGGAGATTTTTCAGGGGAATGTCATCCCATGCTTGTCCGAGTGAGGATTCTAGCTGTGCAACAGTCCTGGCTCTTTTTTTTACTGAATATTTAGTTGGGTGGCAGCATATGTTGTTCTAAAACCTGTATATACTTTTCTGTGTTAATGGTGCCTTTCCAGATGTGCAAGCTGCCCATGCCAGAGGTACTAATGCACCCCCATACCATCAGAAAGGCATCTTTCAAACTGTGAATGGATTGAATGGCTGCTCTCGTCTTCAGTGCACAGTAGTTTTTCTGCAGAGCAGTAAACCTATTAAAAATTGAAAACTAAGAAACCACATTTATGGAATCTAAAAAAGACCAGATTGAACTTGAGCTTGAGCATTGGACTCGAGTCCTGGACTTGAGCATGCATCAGGACACATTTATGGAAGTATTCACAGCCTTTGCAATAAAGCTCCAAATCGAGCTCAGATGCTGTTTCCACTGATCATCCTTGAGATGTTTCTACAACTTAAATGGAGTCCACCTTTGGTCAATTCAGATGATTGGACTTGATTTGGAGAGGTTCACATCTGTCTATAGAAGGTCCCACAGTTGACTGCATGTCGGAGCACCAACACAAAGCATGAAGTCAAAGGAATTGTTTGTAGACCTCCAGACAGGATTGTGTTGAGGAACAAATCTGGAGAAGGATACAGAAACATTTCTGCTGCTTTGAAAGTCTCTCTGAGCTCTGTGGCCTTCATCATTCATAAATTGAAGAAGTTTGGAACCACCAGGACTCTACTTAAAGCTGGCTGGCTGTCTAAACTGAACGACTGGGGAAGATGGGCCTTAGTCAGAGAGGTGACCAATTATCCAATGGTCACACTCTTAAAGCTCCAACGTTCCTCTGTGGAGAGAGGAGAACCTTCCAGAAGGACAACCATCTCTGCAGCAATCCACCAGTCAGGCTGTATGGTCAAGTGACCAGATAAAAGCCACTCCTGAGCAAAAAGACACCTGAAGGATTCTCAGACCAGGAGAAACAAAATTATCTGGTCTGAAACAAAAATTAAACTTTTTGGTGTGAATGCCAGTAGTCATGTTTTGAAAGAACCAGCTCATCACCAAAACAATACCATCCCTACAGTAAAGCATGGTGGTGGCAGCATCATGCTATGGATATATTTTTCAGCAGCAGGAACTGGCAGACTAGTCAGGATAGAGGGAAAGATGAATGCAGCGATGTACAGGGACGTTCTGGATGAAAACCTGCTCCTGACCTCAGACTGGGGACATGGTTCATTTTTCAGCAAGACGATGACAAAGGACATGGCAAAGATCTCAGAAGGGGCTTCAGGACCACTCTGTGAAGGTCCTGGAGGGGCCAAGCCAGAGTCCAGACTTGAATCAGATTGAACATCTCTAGAGAAATCTGAAAATGACTGCACAGATGTCTCCCATCCACCATGCTGGAGCTTGAGAAGTACTGCAAAGAATGGGACAAACTGTTTAAAGATTAGAGTGCTCAGCTTCAAGGTCTTCAGAAAGACTTGAGGTTGTAACTGCTGCCAAGATCGATCCAAGATGGCACCATGTACGGTCGCCCTGGCATTCTGGTGTGCTCTGTTTTTGTGCGTTAATCATGCGTCTGCGTGCTCCTACACTCGCGAGGAGCTACTAAACTTCAGAATCGCAACCCATGAGGACATTACTCCAGTTTTTTTTAGTGCCTGCTGCAGAACTTGTGCACTTTTTGGCCAAAAGAGCAAGACTTCGCAGGAGGGGCAGAAGAGCCGGAGCACTCGTGCATCTCCGGAGGCGTGGTACACGTACGCCTTTACCTGGGATATTCCTCTCCAACGTCCGTTTCCTCTACAACAAAATGGACAAGAGAGCGCTGCTGATGAGAAGGAACAGAGATTTTTCCTCCTCCTGTGTACTGTGCTTCACGGAGACGTGGCTCAACAAGCAGACCCTGGACTCCGCACTTGATCTAGAGGGATTCCAGCTCCTCCGCGCTGACAGACAGCAGGAACTTTCCGGAGGAAAGAAGAAAGGCGAAGGAGTCTGTTTTTTTATTATTTTTTTATTTTTTATTTTTTTATCAGCATCGCCTGGTGCTCTGACGTGACGGTGATCTCCCAGCACTGCTCTCCTTCTCTGGAATATCTCTTCATAAACTACAAACCGTTTTACTCTCCACGTGAGTTCACTTCATTCATTCTGGCCGCTGTTTACATCCCACCGTGTGCGGACGTGCACGAGGCTGAGCTTGCGGACCAGATTACGAGTGTAGAGCGGACTTTTCCGGACTCCCTTATTATCCTTGGAGATTTTAACAAAGCAAACCTCAGGCATGAACTACCTAAATATAAACAGTTTATTAAATGCCCGACCAGAGAAGGAAACCTGCTGGATTACTGTTACACCACAGTGAGCGGTGCTTATCGTGCTGTGCCTCGTGCTGCCCTGGGTCTCTCAGATCATGAGATGATTCACATCATACCTGCATACAGACAGAGACTGAAGCTCTCAAAACCTGTGGTGAGGACATCCAAAAAGTGGACCAGTGAAGCTGTGGAGGAGCTACGCATGTGTTTGGACACCACAGACTGGGACCTGTTCAGGGCTTCTACAGACAGTCTAGACGAATACACAAACACTGTGACGTCATATATACATTTCTGTGAGGACAGCATCATCCCATCACACTCCAGAGTCATTTTCAATAATGATAAACCCTGGTTCACATCCAAACTAAGACAGCTTCGTCAGCAGAAGGAGGCTGCTTTCAGAGAGGGGGACAGAGACAACTACAGACGTGCGAAGTATGGATTTAGCAGGGAGGTGTCGAAGGCTAAATCCAGGTACAACACACGGCTGGAACAACAATTCTCTGCAAACGACTCTGCCTCTGTCTGGAGGGGGCTGAAAGAGATAACTAACTACAAGCCCAGAGCACCTCATTCTACAGACGATCTCAAACTGGTAAACGATCTGAACGACTTCTATTCACGTTTTGAAGTCATGGACTCACATTCCTCCACACCAACCCCAGCTCAACTGGTTTAACCACTTGGGACTGCCCCCGTCAACCCCCTGCTATCTCTGTACAAGAGGATGAAGTAAGGAGGCTTTTTAAAAGGCTGAATACACATAAGGCTGCAGGCCCAGACCTTGTGTCGCCCTCTACGCTGAGACATTGTGCTGGAGAGTTGGCTTCGGTCTTCACAGGGATCTTCAACTCTTCTCTGGAGTCATGCCACGTCCCAGCCTGTTTCAAGTCCTCCATCGTCCCTGTCACCAAGAAGCCACGTGTCACAGGACCAAATGACTACAGACCTGTAGCTCTCACGTCTGTAGTCATGAAAACCTTTAAACGCTTGGTTTCATCTCACCTCAAGTCCATCACAACCCCCTCCTGGACCCCCTGCAGTTTGCCTACAGGGCCAACAGGTCTGTAGATGACGCAATAAACCTGGCTCTTCACTTCGTCCTGCAGCACCTGGACTCCCCAGGAACCTACGCCAGGATCCTGTTTGTGGACTTCAGCTCCGCATTTAACACCATCCTCCCTGCTCTGCTCCAAGACGAGCTCTCCCTGCTCCATGTACCTGACTCCACCTGCAGGTGGATCACAGACTTCCTGACAGACCGGAGTCAGTGCGTGCGGCTGGGGAGAGCTGTCTCGGACACTCGGACTGTAAGCACAGGATCTCCACAGGGCTGTGTGCTTTCCCCCCTGCTTTTCTCCCTGTGCACCAACTGCTGCACCTCCAGCCATGACTGTGAAACTTATTAAGTTTGCAGATGACACCACCCTCATCGGGTTCATCTCGGACAGTGATGAGTCTGCATACAGGAGGGAGGTGGACCGGCTGGTGACCTGGTGCAGCAGCAACAACCTGGAACTCAATGCCCGGAAGACAGTGGAGATGATTGTGGATTTCAGGAAAGCCACAGCCCCTCTGCCCACCCTCACCTGTAATGAGACCCCCATCACCACTGTGAACTCTTATCGGTTCCTCGGCACCGCCATCACCCAGGACCTCAAGTGGGAGCCGACCATCAGCTCCCTCATCAAGAAGGCCCAGCAGAGACTGTACTTCCTGCGACAGCTGAAGAAGGCCAAGCTGCCGGCCAAGCTGATGGTGCAGTTCTACACGGCCATCATAGTCCATCCTCAGCTCCTCCATCACGGTGTGGTACGCCGGGGCCACTGCCAGGGACAGACTGAGACTGCAGCGCGTTGTGCGCTCAGCTGAGAAGGTGATCGGCTGCAGCCTTCCATCCCTCCACGACCTATACGTCTCCAGGACTGTGAGGCAAGCAGGTCGGATCACAGCTGACCCTGCTCACCCTGCACATGGTCTGTTCGAACCACTCCCCTCAGGCAGGAGGCTTCGGTCCATTCAGACCAGAACCTCCCACCATAAGAACAGTTTCTTCCCCTCTGCTGTTGGACTCCTGAACACTCATAATGCTACCTCCATAATTTCTGCTTTGGTCACATTACATCTGTATTATAATTGAATA